TACTCCTGGGGATGAAAGAAACATAGTCTCGCTATTCATCTGTTCTTAAGGTCCCTGGCACATGTTTTATTTAGGATTTAAGGTATTAACCACACCATAAATAATAACCCAGCCACATATTAAAGCCACAACTTTTAGAGTAATAATTAGCAAATGTACCACAAAGATATTCCACATACAATGCGTAACAGCTTTGTGGGTTGTCTGTATTGCACCTTAAATATAATATGTGATGTGTCAGGCTTGACCTCTGACAGATTCTGGTGCTCAACTGAGCATAAGAATATGGTATGGGGAAGCTTTGGGGTCCAAGACATAGCCCTCCCCTATCTGATCAGCAGGATTGGGTTGGGGGCAGCACCAGGTTCTGGATATGGTGCTCCTTCCTGATCCCTGGAGGTAGATGGGGGGGAGGTGGGAGAGGGTGTGGTGACCTAGACAGTTGGGGAACAGCTTCTTAATATCGGGCTCATTGTGCTCCAGACCTTTAAAAAGCAGGCATACAACTGAGAGCCTGGTATATGAGGGGCTTTAAAGAGCTTACCTGCAGGGGTATTCTTTAAAACTTTTGGGCGCTTAAACTCAGAGTGGGCAGAGGCTCTGCAGTCTTTGACTCTTGGCACCAGCTTTAAAGAGTGGTCTGAGGCAGGTTCCTTGCCAGGGATTTAAAAACCTATACTTGGCAGCTCCCGCAGGGGATTGGAGGGTGGTCCCCATTGTGGGGGAGGGGTTCTTCATACCTCCCCTTGCTGGATGGCATGATTGGGGATCAGATCCCATTGTACTGTTAAATGGACATGTGCCAAGGGCCTCCATCTCTCTACAGGCTGCACAAAAAAAAAAGGGCTGCCGGAGGGGTTAGCTCAGCCCCTGGGACAGCTACGATGCTCAGGGCAGCACTAGCTGCTGTATTGCTGGTAGCAGTGATAGCTATTCCCTGCCCCTCAGCCATTTCCTACCCCCCAAGGCTGCCCCTATTGCCACTCTCAGGATGCTACTGGGGGCTGTTACTCTGTGCAGTTGTGGCTGCTGAACTAAGACCACCATTTCATTTTGCACTGGCTAGCAAAGAGCCAACCAATAGATTCATACTAATGGCTTTTGATGGTCTTTAATTTGGGATCTAGACTTGAAAGGTTTTAAAATTTTCTGTTTCCCCAAATTTTCTTGCTCTTTCCTTTTTTCCCATTATTGTTAAAAATCTTTGTAGCTTCATGTTTGCATGGATATAAGCAAAGGTGTTCAATTCATGTGATTTTTACCATATATATATGAGCATAAATAGATAAGTTAATTTTTAATATACTATTTTAACAAAAAAAAATTATCTTACCTTTCAAACACAGACTTTACTAAGAGAATATTTGCCCCATTAAGTGCTCTGTGCACCTAGAATCTATTAAGATAGATATTAAAGCTTTTTATATATCATCTGTTAGAAGTATGTGTAGGAACTATATCTTGCATATCTGTTTTCAATAGGAAGCAAGTTATGTACATGCATACAAGATTTCTCAGTTAAATTTGTATATATTGACTAGGTACCCTTCTGATAATGTTTGAAAACTACACAGTTACCATTGATATGGAATGATAGCCTGTCAAAAGTTGTTTGAAACAAATCAGGTGGTCATATTAAAGTAATTCTTGCAAGCCTGTGTTGTGGTATATGGTGATAGGCTCTTTCACAAATTAAAGTGCACAGGCTTCCAATACAGAATTTCAGCTTCCTTGCCTTGGAAAAAAAAAATTTACATACAAAAGTATTTATTTTGTGAGGAGAGGAGTTCTATTTCTTTAAAGGCACTAAGAAACTGTAGCTGAAATTGAGATCATTTTAAAAGAATTTTTTAGATGCTTTAAGAGTGGCTTTAGAGGGAGAACTTCTAATTGTTATGGTAATTTTCTTGTGAGTTGAATTGTTGTGATAGATGTTGGAGTTAGTTATGAGCTCATTGTACTCCCACGGCTGGACATAGTTATGGAAATAGGTTTGCTAAAACAGCTGAAATACTGTGTTTCAGTAGGTGCATTCTGTTCAGCTCGTCATTATTGTACCTTGTAGGTGTAAACAGCTTGCTGCTTTTAATTAATGTGAAAGTACAGTAAGCATGATTTGTCATAGGCTCTAGTTAATAAGTTGTTCCCATTTCAAATGCTGATGCCCAGTAGCGTTGATTACAAACTGCTGTGTCACCAAGCAGTCATTATGCTAAGACTCTCCCCTGTATAATAGTATCTTAAGTTAATAAGATCTTGTGTGGTTTACAGCACTTCAGTCTTGGGGTACAGGCACATAAACAAGTTGCCACAAGATAAGTTAGGGCCTGCAGTTACAACATCTGAGCTACTCTGTGGTAACTGTATAAATGTTTGTATCTGGTGATAAAGCTAACCTCATTTGGATTGAAAAAAAAAAGCTGCTTTGCACTTGACACAGGGTAAAAGCACGCACACAGGCAACTGCCACAGTAGCTGACATGCTGTAAATTTACAGCTTTAGGTTACCTTGAACTAACTTGCTTGTCTATATACTTAGAATCTGATTTTCTCTGTGATACAAAGCATGTTACTAGGGATGGTTTTTAAATGCAATTTAGTTGCAAATGCAAAACAAGGCAAGAATTTTCACACTAAATTATCATAGTTTCCCATCTAATTTCTATGTTTTGTAAAGGAAGTTTAATTTTGGTGTACCCCTCTGATAGGTAATTTAGATCTTGCTTTAATATTATAAAACTTTCTATCATGAGAAAATAGAACTGTATTGTTTTAGGGTCACATTCTGAATGGCCTATTACAGTGTTTAGAGAATCCTAGAGACTTGTTCAGTTCTAAGAAAGGCACTTTAAAGTTTGCAATTCTGTATAAAATTGGCATTCATCCTTCTGCCTCCACTTGCCTGGGAATTGTTCCTATTCTTCCCAGGCAGTTGAATTGCTTTTCCTTCAAGTGCTATTTTTATTTTGACAGGAATTGTAACTAGACTTTAATCTTTTTTGTTGTGATTCATAGTATTAATCTGATAACTTGCTAGAGTTGGGAGGAAATTTAGTTCTTCCGAAGCTTGAGTAATTTAGCAGATTCACTCCTGGTCTCTGTCATCTTGAAACATCAGATACTATCACAAACTCATTACTGTGCTCAGAGGTAACTCATTTATTTCAGGATGACCATTCACATTTCACTTTCTTTTAATAAATTACATTTTACCTTCAGTTAAGAAATGCTTAGAATTTGAAAAATTTGGTGGAACTATCACCCTTACAATTTGGAAGAAAACCCTGATAGTTCTGTGTTTTTATCTTTCTACATTTTTCTTATTTCATCAGCAGTTATATTTGGTGTTTTCTATGTGGAATGAAATTAATTCTTTAGTATGGCTTTATTTTATTTGACTAGTATGTCCCATATTTCTTTCAAGAGCAAAAACAGCACCAGAATTGTGGATGACAAATAGTTTTTCGTGAATGCTCTTTAGGAAGGAAATTTGAAGACGATGGGGAGAAACTAGCAAATAAACTGACTAGAATGTAGATATTGCTTGGTGAAGTATATCAGAAGACTTGACAAGGATGTATGTTTCAGCCTTGAAAGTTTGAAAGACACTTGTTTTGATGCAAATTCTTCTTTTGCTTTGCAGGTACATGTAAAGTGAATTTTCCTGACCCAAACAAACTCCATTACTTTCAGTTAACTGTAATCCCAGGTAATCTTTTAAAATACTTCTTAAATATGAAACATTAATGGATTAATTTATACTGGCAGTGTTTTTATCAAAAGTATGGGCTGTCTGGTGTCTGATATGCATGAAAAAGGAAGCATTTGGGAAGCCTTTACTATAGATTATGCGCTCTAGAATCTTGTTAAATCAGGAATAGCAACAGTGTAGAAAGATGTAGAGATCTCATTTATTAATTTTGTTGGGCTAAATTTGATTTAGTTTCAGTTTTAAGTATCTTATTTTAAGTCATCAGCAAATTTGAACAGGGTGC